AAGAAATGCATACACTATACAGCTGTAGACAAATCATTGCACAGAACAAAACATGATGAGAGTAAAAGTAATTCATATGACTTTTTCATTTGCTGGATTCAACTTAATTTAATGAATACTTTACACATGGACACTAAGTACTTTCCTGTTATTTTTTTGTCAACATCATTAAAGAAATTTAAACTTTATCACAAATGTTTTTTCGTCTATTTGTGTTTGACCCCAGTCTTGTGTGTAATTCTGTTCACTAGTAACCACATTTTATTAAAAAAAAATTCTCAGTGGTGCGTGCAAAGTCCTTACCTAATTTTTATTACAGTTGATCACTGAAGCATTAAACCAGAATAACACAAGCTGACAGAGTGACTTTTCTAGAGTGTACACGTTTGTTTCTACAATTACATTATTCATACAGAAAAGTTGCTAAACCCATGTTTAGTTGTATAACTTTACTTGAATAATTCATTGTTTTACCATTTACTCCAGCCTGAGTGGTGGCAATGCTTTTTGCATTAATAATGATGATTGCCCATTTCACTTCCAGGCCTAGAGACAGTGTTTGCACTGTGTTATACGTGAGAGAAGACAAGCATATGTTTCATGATGTGTGTGCAGGAGTCGACTGCGACCATGCTGCTCTATGAGGCTGTAATGAGGTACAGCATTGCTTTGAGCTAAATGCTAAGGTCAGCATGCTAGTATTTGCGTATTTCAGGCTGTTTTTTGTTTTGCAGCTATTGGGTCATAAACCTATATCTTGGACTAATTCAAAAGTTTGACACCAGAGGAAAAACCAAAGGATCATCAAATTCATAAGAATTTATCTTCTGGAGACCATGATTGTCTACACAACATCCAATTTCAAACAATCCAACAGCCATCCATGTTTCAGACATGACAGGTATATAATGCAACTCCAGAAACCAAGCCACTATGGCTGATTAGCCACTTTTATATCAATCAATCGTTGAAATTTTATTTATATAGCCCCTTTCAAACAAATCAAATGCAAAGTGCTTTATAGGGGATTGACTAAGCATATGATGTTAGAAAATAATTAACAATGAGTTAAAAGCATTCTGATTCAGAGACTAATGCATACCAAAGCAATCAATAAAAGAAAAAACAAACATGAAAAGTATTACAATATAATATGCATATCAACACAATCTTTTCAGTCAAACTTAATGGAATGAGATAAATAATTAGATAAAAATAAGTGTAAATAATAAAATCATAAAACTATAAAACACTTCATAAAAGCCTGTCTGTTGACAAACCACAAGCATTTCTGATCCGTAGTTTGGTGTAAGTCCATGTAGTCCATTATAAATTGATTAGATTGTTTTAAAAACAATTAGAAAAATAACTGGTAACTGGTGCTTTTACAATATGTGTGTTACAATGTGTTCTCTCTTTTTGGTCTTAGGCAGAAGTCGTGGAGCAGAGTTTTAAAGTAAATGAAGGTGATTGTCTTGTCATCATTACTATGCAAGATACTGATCGGCACATGCATTTAGTCTGTCAAGTAAATATTGAAATATATATACTATCAGGCCACATCATGAAATATTCACCCCACAGTGTAGTCACAAAGCAGACACAGGTCACAGAAGAAGATCGCGCATGGGGCCTGAACAGCATGTTCAGCCATGTAAGTGGGTAAACCTAAAGCAAGGCTAGGTTTCACTTTCCCCTGCAGGCTTGAGAGAAATGAAACAGCTCTTTCCACTGGGGATGTCGACCCCCCACTGAGTATCCTACAACTCTCCCAGTTGTGCAGCTATTATAAAGCACCATAAGAGCGAGAGACGTCTCTACCCTCCTATTACTAAGGAAACATCTTCATGGACATGTAAAAGCACTCATGTCCTATTGAAAAATCAGTGATCAGTCAACCGTTATCAAACATTCAGAGTGAAATATGGAAGATTTGGATGTGTGTGGTTTGTGACAATGGGGAAGTGATGCTGCCTAATTATATTCGCATTGGTTGAACCCAGCCACCTGCTACTTTCATCACAACCAACAGCTCATCAATGTTACACTTCTTTCAGTGCCGAACTTGGACTCAAAGCAGGATATCTCTTTTTAATCCCTCACATGAACAATGCTCTTCAGCCTGGTGAGTGTTTTATCTTTGTTTATATATATGCATCTTAGAAACTAGAAGAAGTAGAAGATGAATACTAATTCCTGGTTGTATAATGAAGTAAAATATGATGTTCATTCCTTGCTGTCACTTTCATTACTGAATACTGAATGTCCTGCTGAATGCTTGGTATGTGAAATCGGAGTGTGTAACTGTCCACCTGCACACATTTCTCAGAGAACTGCCTCTGTTTTTGCACAGATGTGTTTGGCACTGCTGCCCCTGTGGTGTTGTCTCTGTGCATCAACAGCCAGCGTCTCTTACCCGAAAACGCTGCCATGTGATGTTGACGAGGCCAACAATGGCAGCATGGTGAAAGTGGACTGCACCGAGAGGGGCCTCAAAGAAATCCCCCCGGGCATTCCCAGGGACACCACCAACCTGACGCTTACCATCAACCACATTCCAAACTTAAACTCCTCCTCCTTCCATGGTCTGGTGAACTTGACTGAGATTGACATGAGGTGCAACTGTGTGCCCATCAAAATTGGCCCCAAAGACAGAGTGTGTACCGAGAGTTTGACGATAAAGGAAGACACCTTCACTAGTATGAGGAGCCTGCGTGCGTTGTATCTAGATGGCAATCAGCTCTCCAGTATACCCAAAGGTCTGCCGCCAAATCTGATCCTGTTGAGTTTGGAAGTGAATCACATTTATTATATTTCCAAAGCAAACTTCTCTGAGCTCAGGAACGTTCAGATGCTTTTTCTTGGTCAGAACTGCTATTTTCGTAACCCCTGTAATGTGTCATACAATATAGAGAACGGTTCGTTTTCCGAGCTTCACAATTTAACATTGTTATCCCTGAAATCAAATAATTTATCTGATATTCCTTATGATCTACCCACAAGTCTGAAAGAGTTGTATCTCTACAACAATAATATTCAAAAAGTCACTCATGAGGATTTTAAAAACTTAACAAACCTTGAGATTCTAGATATCAGTGGTAACTGTCCTCGATGTTACAATGCCCCCTTCCCTTGTCAACCGTGCCCAAATAATTCCCCGCTACAAATCAGCAAAACTGCATTTCAAATGTTGACAAAACTTAAGACGCTCCGCTTGCACAGCAACTCCCTGACCCATGTGCCATCTGAGTGGTTTGCCACCACAACAGGACTGAGAGTGCTTGACCTCTCGTCAAACTTTTTAGCAAGAGAGATAGGACACTCTTGTTTCCCAAAATTCCTGGGAAATCTGGAAGAACTGGACCTTTCGTTTAACTATGAGCTTCAGCACTATCCTCAGACACTGAGACTGACTGGCAGTTTCTCCTCCCTCAAATCCCTCAAGATTCTCAGACTAAAGGGTTTTGTGTTTCAACAGCTAAAGGCAGACAGTATTGCTCCTTTAAAAGATCTGGCAAACCTGGAGGTTGTAGATTTTGGAACAAACTTCATTAAAATGACAAACTTCAGCATTCTGATGGAATTAAAAAGCTTTAAAATAATCAACTTGTCTGACAACAAAATATCTTCCCCCTCTGATGGCCAAGATCCTGTTGGCTTCGCTGGAGGAGAGCCCTTGCACTGGTCTCCAATGTCAGCTGCCGCTCAGTATCAGAGTAATGAAGTGAGAGAGATTCATTACTTCAGATATGATGAATATGCTCGCAGCTGCAAACATAAAGACAAAGAAGTAGGAGTTGTTGCATACTTTGTCAAAAGAGAATGTAGTCAGTTTGGCAAAACCCTGGATGTGAGTAGAAACAACATTTTCTTCTTGCATTCAAGATTTTTAAACCTCGGAGAGCTGAGGTGTCTCAATCTGTCTGGAAATGCAATGAGCCAAAGTCTGAATGGCTCTGAATTCACCCATCTGACTAATTTACAATATCTTGACTTCTCACTGAATCGCCTTGACCTGCTCTACTCCACTGCATTCCAAGAGCTAAAAAGTCTGGTTGTCCTGGATATAAGTAGCAACAACCATTATTTTGAATCTGAGGGCTTGACTCACATGCTTAATTTCACTAAAAACTTAAAGAATCTCAAAATATTGCTGATGAATCACAATAAGATCTCTACTTCTACAAACACAGAGCTGGAGAGCGAGTCTCTTGAGAGGTTAGAGTTCAGAGATAACCGGTTAGATATGTTGTGGAGGGACGGGGACACCAGGTACTTAAATTATTTCAAGAAATTACTCAACCTGAATGTCCTTGACATATCTAGTAACAACCTCAATTTCATTCCAGTCCAAGTTTACAGCAGTCTACCAGACAAGCTTTCGGAGCTCTATATCAAAAACAACAAATTAAAATCCTTTGCCTGGGAGAAACTGCAACTTCTACATTCTTTGCAAGTCTTAGATCTTAGTGGAAACCATTTAGATCATGTTCCAGCACTGTCTAACTGCACCAAATATCTCAAGAAACTAATTTTACATAAAAACCAAATTTTTAAACTGGTGCCAGATTTCCTTAAAGATGCTTCAAACTTGAAATATCTGGATCTCAGTTCTAATCACATACAACACATTGAAATGTCGAGCTTTCCGGATGATGTTGTTAATGAGATGGACATGCTGCTTCTGCATGACAATAGATTCTTATGCACTTGCAATGCCTCTTGGTTTGTAACATGGCTCAATAGGACCACAGTAACCATCCCTAGACTTGCCACAGATGTGACCTGTGCCGCACCAGGATCGCAAAGTGGTAAAGCAGTAATCTCAGTGGACCTGCTGGCCTGCCAGCACAACTACTTGTCGATCATTCTCTACACTCTCATGACTTCACTCATCCTCAGCATCCTCACCCTGTCCATTGCTAGCCATCTTTTCCTGTGGGACGTCTGGTACATTTACCATTTTTGCAGGGCCAAGGTCAAAGGCTATGGCCGCCTGTACTCCCAGAGCACTGTCTATGATGCCTTCATCATGTATGATAAGGAGGATCCTGCCGTGTCAGAATGGGTGATGACGGAAATGTGCGTCCATCTGGAGGACCGCGGAGACCATTGCCTTTCACTGTGTTTGGAGGAGCGGGACTGGCTGCCAGGATGCCCCCTGATCGACAACCTCTCTCAGAGCATCCAGAGGAGCAAAAGGACCGTGTTCATTCTCACTAACAAATACATCAAAAGCGGCAACTTCAAGACAGCTTTCTACATGGCCCACCAAAGGCTGATGGATGAAAAAGATGACGTCATCGTACTGATCTTCCTTCAGAAAGTACCCTGCAATTCAAAGTACCTGAGGCTGCGGAAGAGACTGTTCAAGAGCTCTGTGCTGGAGTGGCCAACCAACCCTCAGGCCCAACCGTACTTCTGGTTTAGCCTGAGAAGTGTTTTAGCAACTGAAAGTCACAAACAATACAACAACCTCTTCAAAGAGACACTGTAAATACCAAAATGCACTGTAATTCTTCAATAATTTATATGTGTACTTTCTGTGTATGAATTACAACATATGAAAATCCCACCAATGAAAATCAGCAGATCATGAAACAGGGAATTGAAACAGATGCACTTCCCCATTTCACATGTTACTTCTGTCTAGGGGTCTTTCTTTTTGTTGCTTTTGTTTGACGTTAGCAACAGGTTTTTTTCTTTTTGTTGTATCTATTGTATATCAAAAATGAAGAAAACTGAGATTAAATGGGCTATTTTACTCTGCAGTGACTTTACGATGCACATGACAGGCATAGTTTTTTCAGTTGGTTCATTTTGAATTCTACCTGAAAGATTGCAAAGACTCCTGTTTCATGGTTGTTGTTTGAGGATCGTGAAGGATCAATACCATACATGCGCGATGGTGAGTTTTATTAATACAAGCTTCTCTGTACTTTTGAAGTATTGCTCTGTGAGACTTATTTATTAATATGATTGATAATCAGCTGCTGTAACAGAGTTACTTGTTATCAGGCATGTACTTTAAAATAAATGTTTCTCTGGCATTATCTTTTATGATTTTGTGATTCTAGGATTGTGTGCTGAGATCTTTAGATCTCTTCTTTCTTTTTTGGGGAGTGTTTGATAAATGAGTGTTGTACAGTAAATAAATAAATCAAATCAAAGTTTCCTAAAAATTCTGTGGGAAGAAAAAATATAGCATATCATGTTTATTCTGGATCTTCAGACAGAAACTGTTAACCTCTCTATGCTACTCTTGTAGACTAGTGTTTAAAAACCATGTTGTCCAGTCAAAATTTGTACAAAGGCACATTATTTCCTTTCAAATTCTAGTGTAGATCCCGAAGTTTAGATAGATACCAAATGTATCAAGCTGAAATCTTGAGGAAACTGTCTTTAATGGTTGAGAAAATATTCAGAATATACTAAATTATATTTGTGTGTCAAGCGTTTTAAATAAAATAGTTTTACCAGCATTACAGCCACTTCTGGGGAAATAAAGGGGAAACCCGTATCTTCTGTAGGAAAATATTTCCAAATAATTTACTTACAAATAAAAAGGATAAAAATCATGAGCTCAGTAAACTCAGTGTTTGTTGTCACATATTATGTTGGCTAATATTTGTAGATAAATCTTATTGTGTTTGACAATATTGAGTAAGTTCACAGACTGTATGATGAGGTCTCTCAACACAAAGGCCATTGTTCAGCAAACATGAACTTAGTCTCCCTGTCAGAGGTCGATGTAAAATATAATTCTGACAAAATGCCAAGAGCAGATCCTCCAGTTGAGCGGTTTCATTTGAAAACGGCTGCCACCTGCTGGTTAGGAAGTGGTATTCTGAATGGATTCTCCTATGCATACTGTTCAGACTGGACAAAATCCATACAAATATACAGATATTCAAATAAGACTGCAAAAGCACCATTAGTATCTTTGGACAGCATTTTCCCTGGGCTAGAAAAGAGGGCAAAATTTATATCAAGATAAACATTTTAACACCAGTCGATATGAATAATTATCACAACAAATGTCACAATAGTTTTTTGCTCCTGAGTGAAGGCAGTGGTTTTAAACTCTTCTTCTGCAAACACTTGATAAACAGCAACATATTTGATAAATCTGAGATGGATCAATTATATGTTATACCTCTTCACTGTGTTTCCACAATGCATAAGCATTATTTTGATATGGACAAACAGTGTTATTGGAATTGTAAAAATTATTAATATTGTTTTATTGGCCCGTCTAAATTTTCCCAAACAATGAGGACTGTGGATTTTTCCAAATCATTTGCATTGGAAGCACTATAGTAAGACAACTTTTAAAGCCAAGTCCGAACCAGACGGACGATTACAGCATAGGAAACTGTTTAACAAGAAAAAGTAATATGTAAAGAAAAAAAGAAATACATAGACCTATCCTCATCTTAAAAATGCTGTTGTTTGTCTGCAGACTGCCACATGTTGGATGCCCCTGCTGCTCTGGGTGTGTTTCCATTATGAGGTCCAGCCTGCTGCTAAACCTTTGTGGATGTCGCCAAAGTTCCCGTGTAACGTCACAGCCAATAATGAGTCAGTGGTCAAGTTTGACTGCAGGGGGCGTCATCTGCATAAAGTGCCTTACGGAATAACTAGGAACGTCACTGAGCTCAACTTGTCCGAAAATGTCATTGCAAACATTTCAAGTCAAGCGTTTTCTAATCTGCTGAATCTGACCTCACTCAGTCTGAACTGGGCGAACAAGAACAGAGGTCTGCTCATCAGTGAAAATATCTTCAAAAATCTCACCAAACTGAACCATCTGGGGCTGACTGGAAACGCTCTGAAGAAAATTCCCAGCAATCTCCCTCCCAGTATAGAAATCCTTGAGCTGAACAATAACAAGCTTCAGTTGGACAACATGAATCTATCAGGCTTAACAAACGTGACAAAACTGTGGCTCACCAAAAACTGCTACTCCTGGAATCCTTGTCGAAGAAATTTTACCATTATGAACAACACCTTTGCAGTTATGACCAAGCTGCAGTCTCTGGGTTTGTCATTTAATAATTTAACCCACGTTCCCCATGGATTGCCTCTGTCATTAATGGAATTAGAGCTGAGTTCAAACAAAATACAATACATATCTGACAACGATTTCATTGGGCTGCATAATTTAAAATCTCTAAAAATTCAAGGGAACTGTCCAAGATGTCAAAATGCACCATATCCATGTGTCGCTTGCCAAAATCTTTCTCTTGGCATCCATCCTTACGCATTTCACACTCTGACAGAGCTTGAGACACTGCACCTGGGAGGAAACTCGCTGCAGTTCCTGAATCCCAACTGGTTTAAGAACCTGAACAAACTGAAAAATTTGTTCCTGTCATTTAACTTCTTGCAAAAAGCAATTACTGGGAATGCAACATTTCTAAGTTACCTTCCCAATTTAGAAAAAATCGATCTGTCCTTCAACTTTGCTCTCATGTTATACCCTACAACCATACATCTTTCAAAGGATTTTGCTTATCTCAAATCACTTAGAACTTTGCATATGGAGGCTTTAGTCTTTCAGAATATTGGACCAGACACGCTCAGTCCTCTGTACGAACTCAAAAATCTGTCTGCACTGAATTTAGGGACTAACTTCATTATTCACTCTGATTCTAATGTATTCCGCAGACTGTCGCACGTGAAATTAATATACCTCGCAGATAACAGACTGTATCCCATTCCGGATAAAAGTCCCCCATATCTGAGTGACAAATACAATCAGAGGTCAGACTTTTCCATTTCACCGAACATAAAATCCCATAAAGACTTTGATTTTGAGGAATCACACACCTTTGTCAAGAAAGAGTGCTATGAATCAGGCCGAATTTTAATCCTCAGCTCAAATAATATCTTTTTCATTTCTCCAAAGCAATTTGAGGGCTATGAAAATATTGCATGTCTTAACCTCTCAGGAAATGGATTTTCTGCAGCACTTAATGGCACAGAGTTCTCCTCGCTACCTAATCTGACATACCTGGACCTATCATTTAACAAGATTGACCTGGCCTATGACAATGCCTTCAAAGAACTGAAGAAACTTCAAGTACTCGACCTCAGTTACAACCCACATTACTTTCAGTCATATGGGATAACGCACAATTTAAATTTCATAAAAAACCTGCCTGTTCTGAGAGTGCTGAATATGAGTCACAATGCCATTTCCACATCATCAACAAAACAACTGTACAGCCAATCTTTGTCAGAACTTCAGTTTACAAATAACTTTCTTGGAACTCTTTGGAAAGAAAAGGATGTCACATACAAGCAGCTTTTTACTCAACTCACTAATTTGACATATTTAGATATATCCGAAAACCAAATTAAAAAAATTCCAGATGATGTATATCAATATTTTCCCCGTAACCTCACCAAACTATGCATAAGCCATAACTTACTCACTGGTTTTAAATGGGACGCAATGTCATATTTCCATCAACTTCAAGTCTTAGACCTGAGCTTCAATTCTTTATCTGACGTGACGGGTATAAACTTGAGCTTCACTCAGACTTTGACTTTCCTTGACTTGAGCCATAACAAAATTTTCCACCTGGACGATGGATTCATAAAGGGTCCGAAGAGCCTTAGCATTCTCAGTCTTAGCTACAACAAACTCACCACCATCAATCAATCTACCTTCCAGTCCAGACCTGAAAATCAGATTAAGATTTTGCACTTGCAGAATAATCCGTTCCAATGTACCTGTGACTCTATCGATTTCATTCTGTGGATTGAAGCCAGTAAAGTAAAAATCCCAAGACTGACCACTGAAGTGAAATGTGACACGCCAGCAAACCAGAAGGATCACATACTGATATACTTTGATATAAAACCGTGTGTAGATGACAGTAAGGCATTACGGATGTACATCCTCACTACCTCCTTCATTATTGCTTTTATGTTTGTGGCAACTACTGCTCACTTATTTTACTGGGATGCCTCCTATGTGATACACTATATGAAAGCTAAGCTGAAGGGGTACAGTTCCTTGAATTCATCAGACAGCTTTTATGATGTCTTTGTGACTTATGACAACAGAGATCCACATGTCTCTGAGTGGGTAATGAGCAATCTGCGGGTGAAACTGGAAGAGGAAGGAGAGAAGCATCTCCCTCTGTGTCTGGAGGAGAGGGACTGGGTCCCAGGAGTCCCGGTGCTGGACAACCTCACCCACAGCATCCGATACAGTCGCAAGACCCTGTTTGTCTTAACGGAGGGCTACGTTAAGACCGGGATTTTCAAGCTTGCGATGTATCTGGCCCACCAACGACTACTGGATGAAAATGTGGACGTGATTGTGCTGCTGATGCTTGAGCCTGTCCTGCAGCACTCACAGTTCCTGCGCCTCAGGAGGAGGCTGTGCGGGAAAAGTGTTGTGGAGTGGCCGAGAACAGCGGCCGCGGAGCCCTGGTTCTGGGTAAACCTGAGGAATGTCGTCAGGGTGGACAATCAAGTTATGTACAACAAGACTTATTCAAAGTACCTAACCAGCAGATGAAGCAGGATAAACCTCATGACTGTCTGGGAACATTTTATAAATTCAAGATGTGAACAAATACCTTCTTTAGAAACCACTGCTCTACAGCAATACTGATTTTGGTCGTCCACAACTTATATCACTATGCCTGGGACTTCAAACAAGATAACTAAATGCATGATCTATTGAGTTTTGTTTATACGTGTGCAATGGTACTGAATCTCTTGTAACTTGTGTGTAAATATGAATGCATGTGAATAAATTAAATCCACCAATCAATTAATACAATTTAAAAATGTGCAAATTAGTAAGTGTGGTTATTTCAATCAGTTATCTCTATCTGTTATAGAAAATATCTTAAGAGTCCGCATAAAAAGGAACAAGTGTTTACTACTGGTTTTATGTTTATGGTAAATTATTTCTGAATGAAGAGAAGTTTAGCACATCTTTAACTATCTCTAATGTTAGAACAAATGCATGTTAATCTTAAGGCTGGTCAATAAAACAATATTAACAATTATCACAATATTTTATCATTTACGTTATAACAAAGGTCAATTTTATAGGGATATAATGTGTATGCAATGTGTAAACACACTGAGGATGTACATTACATAATTGAGTCACCTCAGATTTGTCAAATGTGTTGGTATTAGTAAGTGTTTCTCAGGAGCAATATGTAGTCCTTTAAAACTTCAAAAAACAATAATGTGAAATTTCTCCTTTTAGTTAATTTTTCTTTTTTGAATCTTTATATATTGTCTGGCCATAGCGTCCCAGCCCTTAGTCTACATACAACCCCCAGCAAATCCTTCACCATTTTGTTCTCCCCCCCGGTAATTACTTCATCTGTCCACATGGTGTCGCCAGTGGCGCAGCTTTAATAGGGAACTTTGCAAGTTAATCCTTCACTTTACACTTGATTCGCCACTTATTAATCCACGTTTGGTTCGTAAGGCAACACAAATAAACATCTGGAGACAAACAAACACCTGCAGACATGTTACCAGCCTAACTCTTACACGAAGAGGAGAGACTAGCCTCACTGAAATAACGCGACAGATAATTAATCATACATGTATGCGCAGTGATCAACAAAGCCACATTGTTTACAAACAGAGTTATTTTGCTCTTCTTCTGAAACGACAACAACATATCTGTACAAAGGCATTGTATGGAGGAGGTGGGCGGGGCGTCAGGGTCTCATTTGCATAGTGCGCAGTATATAAAGTGCGCATGAGGCTGCAGACATCACTCTGCCTGCGCCTGATCCATACTCCTGCCATCAGTCAGAAAATCTGGTGAGTCTACTTCCGCTTCTCCTTTTTAATCCTACATCTATAGACTGGTTAATATTAACCTGAGTTATACTACTTTTGTTGTTTTCCAACCTTCATACTTTGGTTGCATCAAACGCTTTCTGCTGCACCAGATGTGCCGACGCTCATAAAAACCAAACATCTGGAACGAAAAGAAATACCTCAAGTGTGACGTTATTAAAACGCAGAAACGCCACAGAGTTGACGGAGCGGGGGCTCGGCGTCACGTTGCTGCATTTTGTGTGTGTGTCTGTGGAAACTACACAAACGCCGCGTGATTGCTGTGTCTGGTCTATTTGGCCTCTGCGTTTTTTTTCGTTTTTTTCATCGTATTCGCAGCTGAAATCTCCGGTTCATTGTTCAGCTGTGTCAGAGGTGGGCTTGGTAGTTAAAGCCAGTCCGATCGTCCACATTGCTCAAAAGGGCGGTGGTCCCTCACGCTGTTGCACACACGAACTGAGTGACACAAAGCTTTTTCTCTTCCCCCCGCCCTCCTCTCTAATCGGCCTCTTGAGACGGATGGGGCTGGTTTTTGGATGAATGTAGTTTGAGTTGCACTTAAAAATTGTATTACAAGTTCTATCTTTTTAGGATTTTTCTTTTTTTAGTATTGTTAGAATACTGGCCTTGTATGTACCCTGGTGTTTAAAATGAACTTTGTCTTGCCTCTGTTCAGATCTCCTGCAAACATGTCTGACAAACCTGATATCTCAGAGGTTACAAACTTCGACAAGACCAAGCTGAAGAAGACGGAGACTTCTGAGAAGAACACCCTACCAACCAAAGAAGGTATGTGCCATTCCAAGTTAACTTGATCCAGAACATTTGGTGGACAAACTTTGGCTTTAAATAATGCTAACCATTCTTCCTCTCTACTTGCAGTCATCGAGCAGGAGAAGTCAGGATGAAGGCCGGGCCTCCTGCACGCTGTACATTCCACAAGCCTTGCCCCTCTTTTTCACCCTTTCCCACATGCATTCTAAGATGCAGCAGTCTGCTTTGACAAATTGCAGCACAACAACACACAAACCTGTCACTTGCCTAAAATGTCCCTCTGTACAATAAGGAAGATTGGCTCAGCGTTGGCATGGGTTCCTTGTCATCAGTTTTGCTGTGGCTGAAAGTCAAGGTGTGTTCTGAAACAACTGAAGGACCTGCGCTTTACCACCTCTAGTCCTCTGGCCACCTGTGAACACTCACAAAGCGTTCTTTTTTATAAAGAGAAGATTACTGGAATGCACAAGTATAAATATGCAAAATAAAAAGTGTAAATTAATGCATGTGTCCTTGTGATTTTTTTACACTGGAAGTCTTTTACTTTAATCAACTATCCTGGATCATACAGGAACACTTGAAGTGACTCTTCACCTGTTAAAACGATGTTCTGAGGGCAAAAGCAGTCTTGCTTTAAGTGCATGATGGATTTCAAATTGTTCACTTTAAACTGCATGTACACTTAAGATCTAGATTGCAATCCTGGGTTTGTTATCCATCAGCTTCAGGGAAAACTCTTTTTTAATTTTTTTAACATATACAGCACTTTGCTGGTTGTGCAGACATCTGTTCAGCCCCAGGTGAACATTACACCTCACAGGTGTGATGAAAGCCTGCCTCCACCCATTGTGGGATAACTCAGGGCTATTTAACACTTACTGCATTAAAACACTTACGGTTTGTATTCTAAGATAAAACTAAATTCACTTTATTTTTATTTAATTCTTTTAAAAGCACTAACCTTCCTGCCAATCCTTTACTATACATTCAACCAGGCCTATTCAGTTTCTTTTTCTGCACCAGGTTCAGCCAAAGAGACTCTCAAAAGAATTTATGACGACAACCTCACCTTGAGTAATCTCAGGTGCTGGATTTGAGGGGAACATTGTGTCTCAATCATTGTGTCCCACTTATTGATGTCCAGTTAGATTTAAAGCGGGTGCTGCAGTGTTTTGGAATTTCTTTAAATTAATAGTGGCTCTAAACACAAAATATTAGAACCCTGCGTCAGTGATCATTGCTTGTGCTGAAATCGGAGATGAACGATGTACTGCCTGTTGAGGCTGATTTCTGGAATCTGCCCTGAGGTCTTGTATGCACACATACGTAAGGAGCATTACAGCTTTTGCTGCAGGGTGAAGCTGCATATCAACTTATGTGTTCTGTCTGGCTTTTTGCTGTTCTCCTTCATGAAACCAAAAGCAGAAGAAAAGCGTGAAATGTTTGTATATCACAAATCATTCAAGACTGTGATGAGTACATACTGAGGTAGAGTGTTGAATTAACAAAAGCCTTTGTCTGTGACGTCATCGAATATGTGAACCACAGCACCAAGAGGCTGTCACTAAGTTTGAAAATATATATATCTATGTATCTAATTAAAGAAGAAAAAAAAGACAACCTTGTTCTGCTGCACGGAGGCGACAGCTGTATCTCCTGTGAGAGAGAGGGTGGGAGAGACAGATTATGTAACTGCAATGTTTCCATACAGTAGACCATAACAGCTGTGCTGGAACAACAATAGGCTCTGCTGAGGGACTGGCACAATGTCACATTCATCCTCTTTCCCATGAGGCTGCATTTAATCTGAAGTCATTTTTAGTATGAGAAAAGGGATATGTTGGTTTTGTTCCGATAGTTTTTACATATTTTCAGTCTTATTGACCACTCAGAGCACTTTATAGTACAAGACACATTCACCCATTCATGAACACATTAAAAAAAAACTGTCCGTGAAAAGGGTTGCAAATGACACTGACGTGACACTAAGGGCTGATCGTGGTGCACTCGGCTTGAGGCACCACGAGGCCATCTGCCAGTGTTGTGATGGGCACCCTCTGGACTGCCCACGAAGAGCACAGATGCCTGACTATGGCCGCATACGTAATGTGCGTTGAGAATGAGAGCACTCAGGAGCGTCTGCTTCCCCACAGAGGGCTTATACTGCATATCAACAATCACATTGTACTGTTACATGGCAAAGAGGCACAGAGGCATCACATCCCAGAGGTTCTATTGGATTTAGATCTGGTGACTCTGGAAGGGCACTGAAGTACACTGAAGTCATTGTCATGAAAGCACTCTGAGACGCCTTTTACTTTGTGATGTGGAGCATTACTTTGATTAGAAGATGAGTGAATTGTTTCTATAAAGGGACGAACATGGTCAGTAACAATTCAGAAATACTCAGAACAGCCTGTCTGGCAGCAACAAGCTCAAAGTCACTGAGATCAGTTTTTTACTCTGCTGTTAGATTTGAACATTAATAGCTGAAGTACCTGGAATCTTTTTATTTTTTAATATATATATATATATATATATATATATATATATATATATATATATATATCAATATGTAATAATGTTAATGTGAAATAAGAAGAGCAGATAAACTGCCTTTTTTAATTTTAAACTAAATTTGGCATGACATTGCAAACCCTTACAATCAAACTGAATAAACAGGCCTTACTAGCAGTAAATGTATGGACCATCATGAGAAAAGTGTGTTCTGACAGGTTGTAGTTTTTACATGCCAGAGGAAGTGACAGGATCTCAGCATGGTGAGACTCCTCCCTGTGCTTCTGCTCCTTCCTCGCATTTGGTCTGAAAACCTGAGCGGCCAGTCCATCTTTCTTCTGCTCTGTTTCCATGGCAGCAGACAGAAGATTTCAGGTTTACACACATTACCAGAGACAGTTGTGTTGTTCAGAGCGCTACATATGTAGAGTTATGGTAGGTACTTCACATTCAACAGTAATCCAGAAGATGACCATAACTAATGATTTACAATATAGCAGTTTTCCTGTCTGCGTGGAGTAGGTCTCTGTCACATGATCATTAACAGAAACATCTTTTGTCTTTTTTTCTCTTTAGAACAGTGCTGTGTTTTTACTAGGTGTGCTATCAGCTGTTATGTAAAATAATACACAACAATTAAAATAAAGTCTTGTAGGTCAGGCCAACTGGGAAAACCTGCAAGGGGAAGAAGTGACACATGAGAAACTCAACTCCCTAGTGAACTATTTTCTGTGTTTTGTTCTCACAGTGCAGGTCAGGGGAATGCTTGGGGGAGGAAACAAATGTTTAGATTGCAGACCTGTTCGAACCTGGTTCTCCTGTGTCACAAATTGTTGTTGGGCAATGTGTACGTGTTGTGCTCTGCATTACTGTGAAAGAATGTCTGCCTAAGCATTATCTGAATCCTTCAATAGGTTAACAAATATATACATTTGAAAGAGGAAAACAAGGATTTTTGAAGATTTATACAGTTATTTATAGTGGCTGTAGTGCTATACACACTACAAATCAACACTGATTTAACAAATTACCAGTCTTCCAGGTGGTCACACACCAGTTCAAGCGCTTTGTTTTGAACTAGGATGTAACAAGGATCTTATTTCACTCAAATGTTATTCCAGCAGAACACTTCCGTTTCTTTTAGTTATTAAAAAGACCTGAATCAAACATTTAAACCTGTGTGGCACCAAAGAGGTGTGGTGTTACGGTGTCAAGTTATATGTTTTGCTGCAAGCACTGAATAACAGAACAGAGCAGTTCAGAATCATGCTAAATATAATAGATACATAAGGAGGAGAGACATTATGGATTGCAAACTCTAACACTGTCAACATATATGTGAAATTCTTATTAGCTCAGTAGTAGTGGTAGAAGTTCAGTCAGTAGGGAAGCAGATAAAAACCAATAACATGGATTCATGTTGTTAAATAACATTTAAGATTAATTTATTGACTTATATGAGAAAATGTATACAGGTATAATAAAACTGAAGCCAGGACTGAAAATACCACTCATCTGTATGGGGAGGTTCAGCATCTTTATGTTCTTAACTCAGAGTGTGTCACGAAAGGGACAATTCATCTTTGTCTTCATTATTATACCCACGGTGGGAAAAAGCAGCGCCGCTATTGTGCGATAGGTAGACACAAAAGCTGAGGGCGTGAGCTGGCCAATCCAGGGACACGCCATAATGGTTGCTATGTGTGACAGAGAACAAATGTTCCTTGCGATGCTTAAGATTTGTGGCAGAGAGAGAAAATATCTATCGGACTTAAAAACCGATCATTTATCGATCTGTATGCATATTTTAATGGGAATTTAAACAAAAAGCTACAAAAACTTTAAAATTGCTTTTCAAAACAGAGCAAATACAAAGGCAGAGTAAATAGTAAGAAGATGTTGCCTAACCTGTTCCTTCTTCTCTGAAAGCTGCTCACCTTTACTTAACATAATGAACAGTTGCTTACAGAATATTTTGCATTCATGGTGTCAGTCCTACAAATTTATAGAAGAGCAGCCAGCTTCTGAGTCAGTACGTGAAACAATTATCTCCAAGTCAGCGCCGACAAATCAGGATGAGGAAAAACAGGATGCACCAACACAAACGTCATCTCCATCACAACCACAGGCACTTGATTAAATGGTCAATTCTATCATAGCATCCTGGCAATTAGTTCTCAGCTTTAGACAAAAGGTTAAGTTAAACGCTAAATACGCTGGAAAAAGAGGGACATGTGGAACCTGAAACTTTGAGCTCAACCTCCTCTACTTGAGATATGTTTGCCATTTTTTAAAAAAAGCTCATATCTGCGAATCAGTTGGGCTCTGTTTACTAAGTTACAGGTTGAGTTAGGAAAAAGTCACATTAAATCCATAAAGAAATAGACTTCTACTTATCAGGCTTGCAGGACAAGATTTTTGTAAAATGATTAGCTAAGAACCCGTGTCTGGGCTGCACTGACAGAGATGTAGTGCAGAGAGATGCAATGTGACATGTGCATGCGTGTGCATTACAGCTGCAAGTATCACCCCCAGTGTGAATGGTAACACGCCACCTACGAGCCTGGCTAACCAAATACTGTCACACACATGCAGCAGAGTGAGAACAAGGTGAGGCGTTAAGCCTGCATGATAACAGTGATCATGTGTGACAGGAAGTGTTTAATGGAGGTGGCAAAATTGTGTGATGTGTGAAGAAGAACAGACACAGGAGATGAGGAAGGTGACTCAAAATTGTTCTTAAAAAAATTTGATCAAATCAAGCATATTGCATCAACTTTATAGTTCAGGCTGAATGAATTTGCATGTTAGAAAAGGAGAACTACAAGCAAACACTGCAGAGTACGGGCAGACATTTGATGTAGGCAAACTAGATTTGTTCCCTCACAGGCTCAGTAACAGATCTTTTCCTTTGGTAATGGCTCATAAACATGGCTTCTATAAGTCACACTGTTACCAGGCCACTGGGTAGATGAGTTGAGAGAC